CCGTGACGTCCGTGGCGCAAGCGTAGCGAAGCGGTGGCATCACTCTGATTTTTAGCTTGCGAAAAAATTTCGGTCTGCGTTCATGGAAGAATCTAGTGATTCTTGCGGCTGAAACAACTGCTGGTGAGTTTTTATAGGTTCCCGTGCGGGTACGTTAGTTACACCCGGCTTTGCGTGGTTTGAAGTAGTACGTCTTAAGGTCGCGGTGAGGTTTCTTCGGAGCAGTCTCAGTCACAGGACGGTGTGGGTGGCAAGGGACCTTAGAGATCACCCAGTCCGCCCCTCTGCCATGGGCAGGGACGTCTTCCACCAGAGCAGGTTGCTCACAGCCCCCCGTCCAACCTGGCCTTGAACCCTTCCAGGGATGGGGCACCCACAGCTTCTCTGGGACGCCTCGCGGTGAAGAATTTCTTCCTGGTATCCCATCTGTATCAGTGGCCTTGCTGAAGTTAGTTAGTGAAGTTCAGAAGTTCATGAGGAGAATGTGACACGAGTTTTGTAGGTAACGCCGTCAAACATACTAACTCCTCAAACCAACGCTTCTTCCACTCTTCAGTTTAATTACGGGGCTCCTACGAGCCACTCCATGCCACTTGAATACTTTTGTGTGTAAGTGAAATAGCGTGCTTTTGGCGTGCATCCATTTGTGTGCTAGTGAACTAGCCATTGATACACATTTTAACAGAGGATGGTTGCATATTCAAAATCATTAGCATTCCTAGAAAACAGTCTTTGGATTTCCCCCCACTCCCCTCCCCCATGTAACTTCAGAGTAATTTCAGGAAGTTTTAAAACTGGGGAATGATGTAGATGTGACAGAGTACACTTTGATTATGTTTTGAGACTAAAGATTTTTTTTTTTCACTGCAGCTATTAGCTGTTGGGTTGACTTAGTGTATTCTTTGAGGTGAAAAAACAGATCTCCGAGAAAGTCTTTTAGTTATACCTATTTTTTTTCCTACTATTCATGATGAGAGTTTGGTGTAAGCTGCAATAAAGCTTAAAAGGATAGCATGAAAAACTGGTTTCTCGGTGCTCTACATATTAAAGCAAAAATTTGACACAATCGATAGAGGTATAGCTTCCCATACCCTGATATCACAATTTCTTTTTATTCAAGGAATTGATCTTTGTTGAGTACAATACTACAAACACTCTGTCAGGGTTGTTCTTCTGTTACGTACAGTTGGAGTTTTCAGTTTGCAAGTTACTAATAATTTAATAGGCCTTAACATGTGCCTAGCAACTGTAGCACAGGCTTGCCGGTGCTGTGAAAAACGGGGTCTTCAACTGTTTTCTCAGCTGAGATGGGAAGAAAGCTGTGTCTCTTTCTCCAGGAGTGTGAGTGACAGTTGTACAGTAGTTACGTGTTTTGGGGCTTATGAGCACATGTACCAAGGTGAAATCTGATGGGTGGATCTCAAAAATCACAAACAATACATCCAGGTATTCTTTATTAAGAAACTGAAGCAAACTGTTAACCCTCATTGTACTTTTCTTCCCATATTACTCCACTTGATTTTGAAGATACTTTGGAATAGCTGTGTGTTTGTCTATAAAGTGGTGTGATAACCCTGGGCACCAGTTGTTATGCTTTCTGCAAGGGAAAAAAAAAAATTTAGAAGTAATAGGTTCATTCTTGCTGCATGTTCTGTTAAAATTATATTTTGAAGCAGAAATGCATTTTTTCTTCTCCATATTTCTAGTGTGCACATTATTAGCTACTGGAAATGGCAAAATCAGTTTATAGTTAGTATATTACACCAAGTACTTCTGTGTTCATTCTGACAGAAATAGGTGGTGGCAAATGTGTGGCTGCAAGCCAGAGATGGTAAAGATGGAGTCCGGGCTAGTTTCTTGTTTTGGATTTTAGTATGGATGTTCACCTGCTGTGGAGTTCATACGCAAACCTTCATGGCTCATTAATCTTGGCTGTTGAATACAGCTTATTCTTTATGCTACCTTGCTTTAATTAATGGAAAAAACCCATAAATGAGTTTGCTATTCAACTTGAAGTAAATCTTGGAGGTTTTTTTTAAGGTCTATGTTATAAATATATTATCTGTATTGATTTCTTTTTGTCAGTAACACTAAATTAGTGAGTTTCTTCTAAAGGTGAGCTGAGTTATAGTTCGATTTAATATTCCTCCTGCATAGCCCTAAATATTGCTGACATAGCTAATAAAATAAAAATATATTCAAGTAGCAAATTCCAGGTTTATGAAACAGTTAGAAGGCTTGCTATGTTAAAGGCTGCTATTAGACAGCAAACCTTAGATATTGACCTACTTAAAACAATCACAGTACATACATCTGTCTCCCTTAGAATTGTTTTGAAGAGGAATGGAGTTTGTGATCCTCTTAGGAGAATAGAGAATATATGGGAACAATCTGTGCAAACATAACATCTTGTATTGACATCCTTCTGAAAACCCTAGAAGTGAATATTCTACAAAATACTTTTTTTTTTTGTCTACAATATTCAAGCTTGGAGGATGAGCAGCACAATTCTGTCTGACTAAAACTGATGTCAAATTATAGTTGGTGGTAATTGTTCACATGACATAGTAGTAACACTGGTAATTGTGAGTGTTAACAAATGATTCTTTTATTATGCTGCCAAGTAAACTAAAGCATGTCTCCGTTACAGGTTTTAATGTTTTTATGATATGGAAAAGAGTTATCTTTGAAGCTTGTCAAGTAAAAGTATATATGGTCGAAGATGATGTTCATTCTTTCGGGTTTATAGATTTAAAAAGCTACATATTGGACGTCATGAGTTTGTCCTCTCCAGTCAGCTGCGCTGTCACTGAAGCTAAATGGTAAGCTCCACTTCTGTATTTTTAAGTGTGGTAATATGGTTCGTGTTTTTGCGGTTTATGTTCTAGGTCCCTGAAATGATGTAATTTCAGACTGAAGAAGAACCAGATATGGTGTGATACGTGCCAGCTGTGCCATGCCAATATAGTCATTAGATGAAAAGATTTACGTGAAGGCGTGCATACTGGCCATCCGATGTGCAAGAGTTCTCTCAGGACTGTAGGAGACGTGACTTAAAGATGGAGGGAGTTCCTGTTTGCAGTTAGGAACGTTGACCTGGAATTACAGGATGGTTTTCAGCAATAACTGAAGTGGTAGAGGTTGACTTTGAGTCTTGCACAGGGCTCTTATTTTTTATAACCTGATACATGTTTGATCTTTGGCACAATTAAAATAAGCTTTAATTAATTCTGTCTATCTTAGCTGTGGGAGCTATTTGTCACTATCTAAAGTCTGATTATACACAACTGCCAATTATGTATAGGAACAGCAAAATTCCATGAATATGAACTTTGGTTAGGAAATCAGACTGCAGACTGCTCCTTCAGCGGGGGAAAGTTAGCAAGATTCCTCTGCTAGGTAATAAATGAAAGAAAATTTCTCACTGTTACTAAATTACTCCACATTTTCTGCCAGATGTGGAAGAAAAGCTAGGGAAAAACTGTTTTTGTGCAATACTCTATGTTCACTGTAGTTAGCTGACTTGTGAAGTGCATGTGAATTTAAAGTTTTTGACTTACAAAAAGTCATTCTGCAATGTAGAGCTCAAAAGCTATTTCACCTTCTTACATGCTTTCTTGAAGAATCTTAAAGTAGAACTAAGCATGGTGTCTTAGGTAAAAGCTGTAGTTGGTAAAGTATGTATTTTAATTCAAACCAATGATCGATGAATTATATATGAAAATGGAATTACAAAGCATTGCCTGAATTCCTGTTAGATTGCAAATCACACATGCTGTGAAACCTTCCAGGGACGTTGTGTTGTTGTTTGGTCTTTGATTTAAGCTTCTGAGAGCTTTATGCTTGTGGCACTTCTACTTGTAATATGAATATGGAAGGAAGAATCTCCTAGAGTAGGTAGTATGAAGCTTTCATAAAGTACTGCATGTGCTGATGACGCTGTGGTGTTTAAAGAATATATTACAGAAAAAAGAATTCTTCAGGACAATCTCTGTTATTTGAAAATGTTTAAGTAGACAAAATAATGAAGCGGTTAAGAGTAATATTCCCTCTTTTTTTTGTTTTTGAAGTAGCTGATTCAGTTTGATTCTATACGAAGAACAAAAATAGTGTTTTCTGCTTTATATTTTTAATTTTTCAGTAATGGCATTGTGAGTTTAAAAGCTGTGCAGAAGATGCTGTTTTAAAAAGGTGTTTAATGCTTTTTTCCCCAGTAGTTACTGTTGCGCTGTTGTGTCTTAATACTCTGATGCACACTTTCTATTTCTGTAATATCCCTAACTTGCTATTACTTGTGATGTTTTGTAACTTGCTTGTGCTTTGTGTGTGTGTGTTTTGGTTTGGTTTGGTTTTTTTTCCCTTCCCACTGGTCTCATTAAGCAGAACAGTTAATGACATAGTTAAATTTTCCACTAAGTTTTATTGTGCAGGTATCTCCATTGTGCTCTTTTTTTTTTTTTTTTTTTTTTTTTTCCCCTGGATAATTAATAGCGGAGTTGGAAGGAACGGTTTTCTTGAAAGCTGATTGCCACACAAACCAATGTCATTTACTTAAAGATTTAAAGGTGGTTTTTATTTACTTTACAAAAAGTACTCATTCCCTTGCTGGCTTTCAGTATGCGCTCCATCCAAGGAGTGTTAAGTATCACTAGGATTAAAGAAGCAAAACAACCTCCACGCTGCCTGCAAACTAACAGAACGGTCACCCTTTCCATAACCCTTGCTTCTTTAGAATCATAGAATCATAGAATCGCTTTGGTTGGAAAAGACCTTTAAGATCATCGAGTCCAACCTTTAACCTAGCACTGCCATCCCACCACTAAACCATGTCCCTAAGCACCTCATCTATCCTTCTTTTAAATACCTCCAAGGATGGGGACTCTACCACCTCCCTGGGCAGCCCATTCCAGAGCCTGACAACCCTTTCAGTGAAGAAGTTTTTCCTAATATCTAACCTAAACCTGCCCTGGCGCAGCTTCAAACCATTCCCCCTCGTCCTATCATCTGTTACCAGGGAGAAGAGGCCGACCCCCACCTCCCTACAGCCTCCTTTCAGGTAGCTGTAGAGGGCGATCAGGTCTCCCCTCAGCCTCCTCTTCTCCAGACTAAACAACCCCAGTTCCCTCAGCCGTTCCTCGTATGACTTGTGCTCCAGACCCCTCACCAGCTTGGTTGCTCTCCTCTGGACATGCTCCAGCAATGCAACATCCTTCTTGTAGTGAGAGGCCCAAAACTGAACACAGTATTCGAGGTGCGGCCTCACCAGCACCGAGTACAGGGGCACGATCACTTCCCTTGTCCTGCTGGTCACACTATTCCTGATACAGGCCAGGATGCCATTGGCCTTCTTGGCCACCTGGGCACACTGCTGGCTCATATTCAGCCGGCTGTCAACCAGTACCCCCAGGTCCTTTTCCACCAGGCAGCTTTCCTGATGAGGTCTGTCCAGATACAAATGACAAATGGCCACATTACTCCTCTTTACCCACCAGCTAGCGTGGGAATAAAGCTCAGACACAGGAAAACTGCCTCTGTAGCAACGTCCTGCAGCTGTCAAAGGCCTGGCATGTGAACAAGTCAGGCCCACGAAGAAGAGAAGTGCCACTGCAACCCTGGCCAACCCAGAAATTTCAGAGTCTCAACATGACAACACAAAAGTAGGGGACCATAGAGATGCTCTCCCATTCCACTTTCTGTACAGCTTTGCCTTGGACATTCACATGTTGTCTCTACTTACCTGTGGGAAATACAGTAATATGTACGCTTTGATCCAGCAATACTGACTTAAGACCCAGTCTTGTGTGCTAAGTGTTGACAAATTGCCTCTGGTAGGCACTGAAATCACTCAACCAATTAACTGAGATTAGATTAGCTAGCAGGTTTGGAAAAATGCTATGAATAAGATGTATGCAGCCGCACATGTTTTTACTCAATTGGTAAGCTCCTCTGCCAGCTCCTTCAGCACTCTTGGGTGGATCCCATCCGGTCCCATAGACTTGTGGATATCCAGGTGGCATAGCAGGTCAAAGACTGCTTCCTCCTGGATTATGGGGGGTTCATTCCACTCATTATCCCCATCTTCCAGCTCGGGAGGCTGGGTACCCTGGGGATAACTCATCGGGCCATTAAAGACCGAGGCAAAGAAGGCATTGAGTAACTCAGCCTTTTCCTCGTCTTTAGTGACAATGTTCCCCCTTGCATCATCTAGAGAATGGAGGTTCTCCCTGGCTCTCTTTTTGCTGTTAACATATTTATAAAAGCTCTTCTTATTATCCCTTACAGCAGTGGCCAGGTTAAATTCCAGCTGGGCTTTTGCCTTTCTAATTTCCTCTCTGCATGACCTGACAAGATTCTTGTACTCTTCTTGGGTTGCCTGCCCCTTCTTCCACAGCTGGTAAGCTCTCCTTTTTTTCCTGAGTTGCAGTAGTAGGGCTCTGTCCAGCCAGGCCGGTCGTCTTCCCCGCCGATTTGTCTTACGGCACATGGGGACAGCCTGCTCCTGTGCCTTTAAGACTTCTTCCTTGAACAACACCCAGCCTTCTTGGACCCCTTTGCCCTTCAGGACTATCTCCCAAGGGACTCTCCCAACCAGCGTTCTGAGCAGGTCAAAGTCTGCCCTCTGGAAGCCCAAGTCCTCCCCAGTTTTCAGCTGAGGTTCTGTTTTTCTCCCTAACCTGTGCCTTGCTAACTTTGGTGCTCTCTGGCCTTTAGCTATCTTTAGTTGAGGTTGATACTTCTTGCATCATTTCTGAATAAGATGACTTGCCTTCCTTTGATCACAGAAAAATAAAGTTCTCCCAAACTTATTGTATGATGTCCACAAACAAGCTTTTACACAGTTTACAGGTGCTACGGCTATTGGGATCCTTCTTATTTCCTGCTTGACTTACCATCATATCTTCTTATTGCAGTAGCTAAGAGTTGCATAGAATAACGATATGTGCTTTTACTTACCTTGTTGCTGATCTTTTGCTCTTCGAGTCATATTGGTTCCTTTGGGTATGGCTCCCATAATAAACACTGAAGGCTAATTGCTTATGTTTTTCTTACAGTACATGCAGGTTATCATGACCCTTATCTCCTACATTTATTAAATACATAAAATGTATTAAGTAACATGGCACCCTGTGGATCAATTAGTGATGACATACAATTATTCTGATCTCATAGATGAAGTCAGTCTTGTTTTTAAGTGGAAATAGACTTGGTATTTATTAAATTATAAAATATTTGTAGTCTGCAGCTAAAAACCTGGAATTTCATGCTTTGTTATTAGTAATGTCTTTAAAGGCAACGCTAGAAGGTAAATTACTGTTCCTCTTGTTGATGACATTTGTGTCTGTTTTGCTAGTCACCTTACGTGAGAAAACGTATCATCAGGTAGAGTTCTCAGCTGTGGAAAATGTTGATGGTACCTGTATACAAACCTAGGGGTAAAGTCGTCACTTTTTATTTAGAAAAAACAAATAATTAAATCCCAGTAGAGTTGTCATTTCTGTAATTAATACTTAAGACTTCATGTAGACAAAGGTAAGCTATTTTAGTATTTTCAGTTATGTGCCAACTTTGTGGTTAATTTAATCATGTTTCTCTTTACGATATATTTCATATTTAGTGGTCCTGACAATATGTGCTTTTGTGTGGAGCAACTAATTATTGCAGCCAGTCTTACATATATTAAGTAATGTGAAAAATGACATATATCAAGTAATGTGAAAACTGCTTTTAACTCCTGAAATAATTTAACAGTTGTTCAGTTTGAGGTTACAATAATCGCACATAAGATTAAACTAGTTTATTTTAATTGAATATGTGTTTTTATACTAATTTTTTACTCTATGTATAAAAGCTTGTTTTGATTATTTTATATTGCTTGTGGTGCTCAAGGTCTGATCCTGCTAACTGCCAAGTAGATTTTGTTTTAACTGAAATAGTAGTGGAAATTAAGATACTGGGTGTTTTAGAGGACTAGACCTTTAATTTGTATTGTGTTTGTGATCAATTGCATAAGTGTAGTTTGAATGTATACGTCTTTGAAGAAAAAATGTGGAATAGTGGTTTTTGTTCCACATACATAGAGGTGGTTTTGAGACGGTAATACATGTTAAAAAATGAGCCTTTACTGCAGGAGACAAACAAAAACTTAGTAGTCATTTTAATGTAAGTAATGGGAATAATTTTTTTAAAGCATCCAGAAAGTTCATTGAATCAATAATAAAGATAATGAAAAATAATAAAATACATGTTATGCTTAAATCAACTTTTGGAAATCCAAAGTGAGTATCTGTTTTAAGTTCCTGCTCTCATATCTTGCAGAATAAGCAATTTATATAACCCTTTTTTCAAAGAGAAATAGTATGACAACTGTGTGGCATAATTTTACTTAAGTGAATGTTTAGAACTGTGGGCTCACAAATCTGATCATTGAAGTAAGGGAGCATTAAAACTTAAAAGGAATACTCATGTTTTTTGAAAATGTTCATATTTTGCAGTTTACATAATCCCAAGCGTGAGCCACAATTACTACAAAATACAAATGTATCGGAATTGGACACTGCTGAAGATCTGAGAAGGAAACTCTGCCAAGCTAAAAAAGAAAAATTAGACTTAACTATTAAACACAATCAAGAAGTAAGGACTCTTTTATTTCCTTTCTTTTACTGTTGGAATAAATGTAATCTTTTTTCATTAAAATAATACTGCCGTGTGGTGTATCAAGGGAACAGTTATTAGCTGAAAAAATGACAAGGAAAGTGACACCATACAGACCTCTCATACCTGTTCATAGGAACTTTTAGCACCTCTGCTGTTGTTATTTACAAGTTGTACCAAGAAGAGTGCAAATTTTCTGCAGGGAAAGGAGTTACTGCCCCTACCAGTAGTTTGTTGGGTAAAACTGCCTGGTGACACAAATAAGTAAAAGCTGCAGCTTGGATCTAGCCTCATAAAAAGATCTCATTTCGTTCTTTCTTACATTTGTTTTCAGGGTATTAGAGTATCATTTTAATTCTGCAGAAATCATTTGCAACTCATAAACCTAGTACAGTATTTTTCTGTGTGTGCACACCAAATCCAGCTAGGATATCCTTTAGTGGTCTTGCAATGTACAAATGCGGTTATGTGTTCATCAGTAACTTCGTAATTGTTAGTGAGGCCTTCATTCATAGGGAAATAATTTACTCATGTTATAAAGGTTTTCTGTGGTGCTGTTGTAGCAAACTAGTATTGAAATGAAGTAGTGGTAAGAAAAAATCTTTTCTTCAGCTCAAATATCAGCTTTTGCACTAGTATACATGGGGAAAGGTGGACATGGTGCAGCAGTAGTTGTAATCTGCTTCGGATTTGTTGCTACTAGGAACACTTCCCATGCTTGCTAATGCCAATGCCAGTGTGACAGCTGATGTCCCAGCTTAAACTGGGCTGGTGCGGAGGTATTGTTACTGCTGTGGGTAACAATTCTGCTCTTAGCCGTTTGCTAGGGGCACTTGATGTGGGTTCTAAATCTGGCCAATAAACCAAGTTTGCTGTGCCATATCCATTTATTATTGGGGCGTGTACCCAAATTAAGAGATTCCTGTCTCTTCTACAAGGACTTGTTCTTGTGCTGCAGTTAATTATTTTTCCATTGCCCCATTAACTGTGGGGTAGTTTTATAAAATGGATCCGTGGAATTATCTGGATTTAAAAACAAGCCAAGCAAACCACCTCTTATACTGAAAATCTGAAAGCTGGAGGTCCACAAGGATCTTCTGCACCATTTTGCTGTTGTGGTTTACACCACAAAGTCAGGTTGCATTTTTAGGTACATAAACTACTTGAGACTGTTTTTTTTTCCCTGTCCATTTACTGTATAGTTACAGAATATGGAAAAGCTCAAGATACCTATACAGGATATTATTGAAGTGAAAGGGCTCCTTTGTAGATGTTCTGAAGAAATACATATTTTATTTTCCACTTTCTTGTGTTGAAATAGCTTAATTTTCTGGACCCAGTTTTTGGCAGCAATGACCAGACTATGTTTCTTAATCTGGATAAGATCACTTTTTGAAGCATTTTCCATTCTTTGTTTGTTAAATTTAATAGCATTCTGTTTGATTACTGAACATTATTGGACTGAATTTTATGTTCATGCATACGAGTTACTAGATATCTGGTAGTCTAGCATCCCAACATGACTATTTTTCTAAGTGTTAAATTTTAAGAAAGTTACAAGAAAATTGTCTATGGAATGTAATGTTGCTGTTGCTGCTGTTTTTCCTTTGAGGTGCAGGAAGATAACAATATTATGACTTCTATTTTCTTAAGGTAGTGTGGTTTTGGAAAAATGATGGAGTATGTTTAAGCTACATGAAATTCATCTAGGAATAGGAACAGTTTTCATAAAAAAAACAGTGAAAGTACTTAAAATCTGCATAAGTGTGCATTTGCAAGACTGTATTTCAAATTCAAGTGGAATAAGAAGGCAGCTGTAAGTGCAATTCCAAATATTTTTTAAATTTAAAATATCCTGTAGGTGTATTTTTGTAACACGTTGCGTTTTATCAAAGGAGCATTATTGCCAGTTTTCTGAAACACATTTGTTTTCTAGCTGTCGAACTATGAAAGCCAGATGGTCAAATTACGGTTGGAAATTGAGAAAGGAGAGGCTGTTCGACAAAGTCTGGAGTATGAATTGGCAATTGCCAGAAAAGATGCTCGTCTGAAAATGTATGCTGCAGAAGAGGAGTTAAGTGATGCAAAAACCAAGCTTGTGCAACTGCAAGGTAAGGTTCAAAAAAGCAAACATGGAACAGAGGCTAAGTCAGTTTCAAGTCGAGAAGACAAATGAGCAGCAGTGACTTAATTACATTTTCTAGTTACTCCTGTTTTTCTTGGGTGTCTCCTATCTTTCCCATCTCTCTTCCATCTGCTTTTGTAAACTCATAAAAGTTTACAAAACTCTTGCTCTCTCATGTGTGAAGTAAACCTAACCTGCTAAACCCATCAACCCTTTTTCCTCTTGCTGCTTGTAATTGTAATTGAATTGTAATCATGGTGGCTGTCTCCACATCCTGGTTATCACTCTGTCCAGCAGTTCTTCCTTTTCCATTTCAGGGAAAAAAAAGAAAAAGTCCATTCCTCTTCATTTATTTGCATTATTTCTAACAACCTTTTTTCCAGAAGTTCTCATCATACTGCTACTTTCTTCTTTCAAAGGTTTCAAGCTTGTCTGGTTTCTTTTCTTCTCATCATCCTTGTTTCTCTTTTTATAGGTAATGGAACATGTATGTTGTGACAGTAGTATGTAGAAGGGAAAGTTTTTACCTAGACATTTTTTTCCCTACTAGTTTTGTATTCCGAAACTCAGATTTCCTTGATCTTCCTCAACAGAGAGAGATATTGCTTATTCTTACAAGTAAGTGAGGTGCATTTTTAATTACCTATGTAAGTGTATTACCTTTTTAATCTAGTACAGGAGATGCATTTATGAGTTTGCTGAACCTTTGATATTCCATGAAGAGTTTAGAGCACTCTTGTGGAGATTTTATCCTTCCAAGAATGGAAGAAGATTTGGAAACTTGGAAGTCCTTAAAGGAGTGGGTGTTTTTAACATAATTAGAAAATTGAACTTTTTCACTCTGTTGAAGAACATTAAAAAAAAGCGCCAAACCATTTATGGATTGCAACCTGGAAGAAGGCATTTTTTTTCCCCTTGGAAATTCCCCTGCGATTGTAAGCTGAAGACTTGAACTGCTAGTTTCTCACTTAGAGAAAAGCTGTGTTTCTTTCTGTGCCTGCTCATTTTACTGCTAGATTGCTTGCCAGTTTAGAAGTGAGTAGTGTGTGTGTATTTTAAAATACTTGGGATCTTACTTTGTGATTCACTTTATGCTTTAGAAAACTCGTTAGCTGTTGTATTGGACACAGCTGGCAGTTGCTGATTGTGAGTGTGGGTCTGCAGGGCAACCTGTGCGGGAGGAAAGAGGTCTGGCTCTGCCTGGAGCTGGTCCCAGCCAGCTCCACAATGGGCAAACCCCTCCACCGCCATGTGCCGAACTGCTCACCAGAGAGTGCATGGTGCGTCTGCCAAAAGGTGTTTCAGAAAGGGAGGTGAATGCTAAGAGGAAGAGAAAAAGAAGAAGAGAAAGAAAAAGAACCATCAGGGAGAGACAGGAGCAGAGCAGCAGCACGAGCAGGGCCTCGGGCCCAAGTAGTGGCCGCCCATGCAGGCACCCAGTGGCAGGACCCAAAAGGGACTGTTGCTGGTGGGGGAACCACAGCACGGTGACCCCAGTCTGCCATGCTGCCTGTCACCTCTCTGAACGGACTGGGCTAACGTGTGGTGAAGGGACTGGAGAACAAAAAGGGGATGGGAGAGGTTTTGCAGAGGCAAATGTTGATGTTTTTCTAAATATGTGTATGTGCATGTTAGTTTCTTCCAATACCAGAATCGATAATTAGAAGTTTGTTAGCTGACAGTACATTACCTTGGTTGAAGTTCCTCAAACCATTATTTTTTTTTCTGTGACAGGTGCCAGAGAAGTCAAATCATCATGATGTTGCTTCTCAATTCTTTTACAGTTTGTAACTTACTGCTTGTTTTCCCTGGTCACTTGGAGCCTTCCTCACCTCGTTTCGTGCTTTGATGTGACCCCTTGGACAGAAGGCCTCTTCTGTGGCTTCTCCTCTTCAGTATTTCCTCCAAATTGTTTTTCTGCTGTTCTCAATGAGGCTTCACTTTCTGCTGACAGTCTTTTCCCATCATTGAGTGTCCTAATTCTCTATGTCATTTTAATGTGCCTCTTCTGTTTGTTTATCCTTTTCTGACTGGGAAGAAATTTCAGAAAACTGGGATGAATTTGAAATAAAAATGTTAGAAAATGGTGATGACTTAAATGCCAATGTAGCTAGTTGTATTCAGCAAAATGAAAAGCTGATATGAAATGCTTTCATCTGAAAGCCAGTTTGTAAAGTAAAGCAGAGTTGCTAGTCAAACTGCTTAAATACAAGAGTATATACAGTGTTCCCCTATCTCAGGGCATTTGCTGGGCTGAAGATTTAAATCTCTTGAGCAGCAGTAAATTTCCTTGGAAAAGCTAAGCCTTTGCTCGCTAGCCCAACCTGCCTTAGGTTTTCCTGTAGTCCCTTTCATAGGGCAGATGCCTATCTTTACTGTCAGTTAAACTGAGCTCAAAATTCATTGATACAGACCAATATCTATATCAAATAGACATTTGGAAATAAGATGGCCAAATATTGTGGAAATCTGAAATTAAGTCCTCCATGCTATAGAGACCTCACTTGAAAGAGTTATCTCAAGTTTTTACTATTTTCCAAGTGGAAAAGAGTTTTAATTTATAAAAATCTCTAAAGCATTCCTACATCCTCGTATGAAAGCTACTATAGGAACATGAAATTTGATTGCTTCTTTGCAGTGAAGGTGGTGCTCTCCGGTGCTGGAAGTGTTAGTGTTCCAGTGTTCCACAGGATATCACAATACACAGAAGAACTGATGATCATTATACTTTTTTTTTTTTTTTTTAAACATGCTTTGCAATGCTACTTGCCTTTCCTTCTCTTTTTCTGTAAACAATAGTATTGAATGAGAAACTTCAGCAGAAAGTGGCAGAGACTGAGAAAACATTTCATATTGCTCAGCAGAAGTGGAAAGAACAACAGCAAAGACTTGTGAGTGAGAAGGATGATATCCGCAGAACTTGCAGCAGTGAATATGAATTGCTCCTTCAGGAAAGAAACAAACTAGAAAGTGTTTTGCAGGTATGATGTATTAATAGTTGGAAAGTTGCATGGAACTTTTTTGGTGCAAAGTGTGTTGGGATTTTTCTGGTTTAGGGAAAAAAATCCCCCAAATAGCTAAATACTGCAGAATATTTCTGAAGAATATAGCTTTATAAAGTTACACTTAGTGTGTCACAGGCTTTCTTGCTTTGATGGAATGGGTTGTAGCTGATTTTTCATGGTAAACACATAAACCAAGTTACCAATGCAGCAGTGGTAGTAAGGCCCATTTGCACTGTCGTGCAAAGCTGAGTTAGTAAAATCAGAGACACCCAACGCCTAGCTTCTGACTCCATTTCCCTCTTACCTCCCCCAGTGTGACATTTGATAGCCTGTGAACATGAAAATTGTTTGTATAATATGGGGACTACATGGTCAGTATGTCACCCAAACAGTGATGATGGGATTTTCAGCTGTGCATTTTATGTTATTCATTCTGTGTCATGTAAAAAAAACAACTGTTGTTGGAAATTCTGTCATTTGGTTAGGAAAAAATAATTTACTAGGACATGGCCTTATAATCTGTTTTGGACTGTGGGTTTTTATTCTTCAGATAATTAATTTCATTGTATTTAACAAAAGAAATAATTTTCAAAGTTGAGTTGCACTGGTATGCGAAAATCCCTTAGATGTTAAATGTGTAAAAAATAATAAAAATACGAACTTTAAAAAACTTTTTTTATACAGTCAAGCTATTAAAAACTGCATTGTGTTTCAAAGAAATGTAGTGGTGTTACTACACTGTAACAGTGGTGGTGCTGAGTTAACATACCCAACTTTTACCTGCTCCTCAGGGACACAAACAATTACACAACTATAATTTAATAGTTTTAATATTTTTAATTGACAATTGAATTACTTTATATCTTAGCAATGTAATAATAGCTTCTGAGGAGAATGGAGAACGTATTCAGCTATAGTTATCCTTTATGCTTTTAAAGAAGTGAAGTGCACAGGCTCTGTTAAGGCTGATAGCCATTTACTCATATGCATGATGTATGCAGAGAACAGATTGCTGCTAAGAGATTCACTTTCTCTTATTCAGCAAGACTTTTTCCTTTTTTTATATTCCTATTTTTTGCTTTTGTAGCTCCCTTTAAGATGTGGCAGACTTGTCTCAGTTGGGCTGGATATTGGTCAAGTAGTAGAAAATTAGCCCTGCTTTCTTCCCACCTGGTCAGCTCCAAGGCTTGGACAGTGCCAAACAGTCTTCCCAAATGATACAAAACAATCCTTACCTGGCTGCTTGACAGCCAAGTTCTGACAGCAAACCTACCTGTTGGACTACATTATGGTGCTGTTGGTCAGATTCTATATGACACCTGTTGGAGCAGATCATATGAAAACAGGGCACACAAAATCCCTCAATTACATGTATTCTGAAAGTACTGTGTACTGATTCTTCAGCCGTTTGTTTGAAGGAAAGATCTGGAAAGAGAAGTGCAATAATGAGAGCTGAAGTAGAAATCAAGTAGTGTATGGACATGTAGTGTTTCTGTGCTTGGGCTGCAAAAGAAGTTGCACTCTGTTGTTCTCTTATGGATCAGGAGCCCTAATGGTGAAGGGTCCCACTGAACAGAATTTTCTCTAAATGAAGGACAAAAAGGAAGTTCTCTCCTATCCCCTCTTCCCAGTAATTTTGTGGGGTTATTTGACAGTGCTTTGAAGGAACAGGTAGGAGAACCATAAAGGAATAGTTAAACAGCAAAAAACCCAAACCAAACCAGAAAACCCCCAAAAAACAACCAAGCCAAGGGAAGAGAAAGTTTCAAAGAAAAACATATGAGTTGATTGGCAGCTGACACTCTAAGGTCCTTCTCAAACCAAGAGAAACATGATTGAGTTTTCATTCAAAGACTTAAAGCTTTAAAAAGTAGGGTTAGGTATAGGCTATGAAGAAACCTATTTTTAGATACAGTTTTAAGTTGCCAGGAAAGCAGTCTAAGAGTGGAGCTTTGGCTCTGAGTTCTGGCTAACAGTGGGCTGAGTTAGGTTGAGGAGGCATTGGAATGGACTTGTCTTCTGTTCTGTACAGTGTTTTGTAGAAGCCACATTCAGTGAGTTTAATGCTGTATAAAAAGAGGAACGTTGGAGAGGTACATTCTGAAGTGATGTTTGGCCTCAGATCAAAAGGAACAGTGGATTGCTTGGGAAATTGTCTTCTCTGTCAGTATCTGTCAACTCAGGAGTAAAGGTGATCTGCAAAGGCAGGTGTTTGATTGGTAAATGTATTAAAGCTAGAAAACTGCTCGCTTCTAAGGTAAACGTGATTCACTACTAGGTGTCAACTCTTAACGTGCTTTCAGTAGTAAAAATGTGCTATTCTCCCACTTTGCTTTTGTAGCTGTTCTCCTGCCTGTTGCCCTAGTTACACGTTTAGTTGTATATGTATAGTTATAAAATTCCAGCAAATAAAAAACACATAAATAAAAGTTAAATATGGACTTGACTGCCTTAGTTGTTGCTTGAAAGCTTAATTGATTGAAACTTGGCAGATAAGTGTCAGAAGGATCTGGGTTTATAAATTATGACTTGAAATGTGTTAGTCTTTTGCGCTGTGTATTTACAGACCTGTTTTAAATACTTTTATAGTTATTCTGAGTTACAAAATGAAAGCTAGATGAGGTGGATTTAATTTTGGTCTTAGTATGTACATAGAAATGAGATTCTAAGCATGTATGCAAATCCTGGTTGAAAAAGCTGCACTTCATGCACTGTAGTTCTGAACCTGGCTATGAAAATGCTGAGATGGACTTGAAATGAAGTCAGCTTAACCTATTGAAATGTCTCTCTAAGATACCAAGGCAAAGTAATCCTCTCTGCTTTCTACCAGGTTTGTAATGTGCTCTATTGCGTGTGCTTAGCATGCCATCCGCTTCATAATAAAAGATGTTGGAGTTCCATAGTAAGTGCAATAGCATCACCTTGTGGTTAGTCAGAATATAATACTCCTTCAGAGAAGCACTTGGTTTTTCTTTAGACTGCTTGTGAAATAGTGTTGTTCATAACCACTTCTTTAAAAGAAATCAGCCATGTTTTCCAGAAGCAGATACATATAGTAAGTGTGTATATGACATGCAGGTATGCATGTGTATATATATATATTTTTTTTTTTTTTTTTAAATGGTGGAGTGTTTTTCTTTTTGA